CTTTACTGTATGAAATATAATATATGTATCAGTCCATGCTTAATTATATCAAGTATATGTTATACAGCAATTCGATGCATGTTACATGAACATGTCTAATACAGAGAAAGTTTAATCTTATATTTTGTAGCAAATGAAACAACATAACTACCAGCAGTTTAGTTTATTACAACATTTTTTTTAATAGGGAAGCTCATATATAGTTCGTGTGCTCGACTACAATCCATCGTTATTCCGTAGATCATTCGCTTCTATCAGCAGGATCATCAAGTTGTGTTCCTGAATCAAAACAAACTTACAAAAATGAACGACTGCACAAATTATATAGTAAAGTTACAAATGGATGGACTTATATATAAAACTTAAAAACAAATTAATATTTCCTCTGTTTTTTTATTAGATGTATCACTTTTAAATAATAGAACTTTCAATTTAGATGCATCACTTTTCCTTTTAATTAATACATTAAAGGTCTTACTATAGACTGATGAGATCTCTAATCAAACTATTAACGAAATCAAATCCAAAGTAAAACCAAGATTACTAGCTAGTAAATCAGATCATATACGAAATTTTAGTATCTTCGTTTACCTGTTAGTGAAATTGGTGCTGAATTAGTAGCTGCTGTAGATGGGAGAAACGGCAAGGGCTTAACCTCTTCACTTGCAGAATACTTGTTACTGAACGCAAGAGTAGTCTTATATTGAGCCATACAACTACTGTATGTAACATCTCCACTTAAACTACCGCGAAGACTCAGTAGCTTCTGTCTCGCGCTTGTCAAGCACTTGTAACAATCACTAGCCAACAAGTCCGGCGTACACTGGACCATCGCGTGAAACGAATCAAACCTTGTATACTTGACAACTTTTGAAGCAAATTTTCTTCCGTTTACAACATTCGAGGCTTGGATGGCCAAGGCCTCCATCGTATTCCTTAGAATTTTCATGAAATGAATACGATGCCTACCCTCGATTTTATGATTGTCCCAAGAGGCCGTTGACATCCCTGTATCCAACTTGCCAAGAAACGACTCATTCGAGAATCTTATCATACAAAGGTCATACCAAATTAAACCCTCTCTTACATAAAAGGAGTTTTCGAAGTTATAGTTTTTAGCAGAATTGATACAACTATAGCAAACTTGGGGATCGACAACATCACCTCGACAAAGGTATAGGACATGTAGCTGATTGGGAGTTCCGGGGAAGGTAGTACTAAAGTTATAAAACCCGGTACTTAAGGTTTGGGATGTTAAGGTTGCTAGGAGATTTTGAAGGTTGTTTTTTCCACAATTATCGATCGTTCCAATTCCGGATGCATGTGCAAAGACAAAGGAATGATTCGAGGTTGATAAAACGCATTCAAGGCGTAGGAAGATGATAAATATTAATGGAAATATCATCATATTGGTGTTTTGAAGGTGTGGGATGAAGGTGATAAATAACAATGACTACTAGCATGGCTTTTATTGATTAAGTGATAAATTAAGTCAACATCAAGCGTTTTTATTTTTCCTAAAATTAGGGACCCATATTGTTTTGGTGGATACAGGGTGACCAATTAAAATCGATTATTTAGCAAGCCCACTATATTGAATATTACATGAGTTGACTTCAAAGTCACGAGGAACCCTCATAGAAACCCCTATTACTCTCTCCGTCCCCGAATGATAGTCACTTTTGGGTGAAAAAGGAGAAATAAATAAAAGTACATGGGAATTAAAATCCAATCATGTGCAAAACAAAAAGAAGAGAGAGAAACTGATTGTCATTAAAAAGGGAGACAACTCATTCAATTAAGGAACAAGTACAAAGGCAAATATGAGGGTATTTTGGGAAGCACAGATAATACAACCAAAAAAAATGAGGGTATATAGGTCATTTTGTAAGATTGTATGGGATCTAAAATTGTGAAATGTGACTTACATTTTGGGTGTCCAAAAATGAAAATAGTGACTATCATTCGGTGACGGAGGCAGTATTTTTTAATCTTTTATATCTCTTTAGAGATGTATTTTTTCAAACCGAGAGGAAAGCGCTAAGATCGCTAATCCCCTCTAGAGAATACCATAATAAGATTAAATTTTGGTTAATTTTTAAAAACCACCCAAAAATGTATCCTTTTTAAAATAACCACCCGTTAAATTTATATTTTTATTTTACCACCTCTTAAATTCAAAAACTACTCAAATTACCAACTATTTCAAAATTTCGGTGGATTTCTCTTATGTGGGCCCCACCTAACGACTCTTAGTGGTAACAGGAAGAAGATGATTAGTAGTAGTGGCAATTTAGATAACAAGCTCTTGATTTTTTTTCATTTGTTTTCTTTTGATTTTAGGTTGCCTTATACTTAATAAACTGGTTTAAAGGGGAGGTGGAGTGAAGACATGGTTGATTATAATGCTTAAACATAACCGTTACTAGCCATTGGGTAGGTCCACATACCAGAAATCCACCAAAATTTTACAATGGGTGGTAATCTGAGTAGTTTTTTTAATTTAAGAGGTGGTAAAATAAATAAATAAATAAATTAACGGGTGATTATTTTAAAAATGAATACATTTTTGAGTGGTAATTTAAAAATTCTCCTTAAAATTTCAATAATGTTAATAAATGGGTGAGAAAGAGTTCTAATCATGTCCCGTTAAATTTTTTTTGCTCACATTTCGAAATTTGACTTGGTTATTTTCGACGTTGGATCCTCCAGGTCACATGACTTTTTTTATTTATTATTTTTTTTTTATTTACTAATTTCACCCCTTTTCTTCCAATTTTCCTCTAATCACTATTTATTATCAAACATTGATAAAAATTGTATCAGTAAACAAAAGAAATATATTAGTCAACAAATGAAAAGTATCAACCAACAAAAGGAACATATCAAACATATTAGCTAACAAATGAAGCATATCAGCCAACAAAATGATGAATTAGCAAACAAAAGCAACATATAAGCCAACAAAATAAGCATATCAACTAACAAAATGAAACATATACTCCATCCGTTTTCAAACACTAGTTCAAATTCTTTATTTGGAAAGTTTTTACAATATTTTATAAATTTCTCTCACCAATTGAGCCCAACAATATTAATTCCATATTCTCTCTCCTACAATTCTCTCTACTACTTTTGTTTTTTTTTTTTTAAATTCTTCTACCAACCCCATACTTTATCACTTTCTCCAATTTCTCCTAAAACTCCACGCATGGAGAAATGGATCAAGTATTTAAAAACGGATGGAGTATAAACTAACAAAAGATACATATCTGTCAACAAAAAAAACATATCAGCCAATTAAAGCAACATATTAATCAACTGATACCTGATAGCAGCCAACAAACGGAACATATAAAAAAGTACATGTCAATCACCAAAAGAAATATATATTAGCCAATACAAAAAATATATTATCCAACAAATGAAACATATTAGCTAACAAATAAACATATCAGCCAAATCTGCCGCACATAATCATACATACAGAAATCCGTACACAATACCTTCTCAGTTCCAATGACCTATGACTTCTTTAAATAAATTGCGTTTTTTACCACCTATCCATATATTTGACTATTAATGCATTTCTACTTCGTATTACATATGAAGTACATGATAAATTTATAAAAACTTGATATTTTAAAATTGAAAATTAAAAATTAAAATAAATTTCATAAAATCTCACATAATATTGTTGTGACATTTATGTGACAATGAGAATTTACAATCATATTTGCATTTGTAAGATTTAATAAAAAACTAGTTTTTGGTCATTTTGTATATTAAAAATTATAACAAAATAATGTGAAATATATCATTTTTTTGCAAAATAATATGATTTTATAAAAATAATACGAAGCATCACTCTTTAAATTTTGTAGATATGATTGAACATCAAAATGCATGATTTAATATGCAGTAATCTAAATGTTATATTGTATCAGTTTGTTTTAATTGTTAAAGAGATTTTTTTATTAATCAGCTGTCACAATAAATTTCTTCGATTAAATAAATTTTGTGGTAAAAAAAAACTTGTAAAATTATTATGCATTTTTGGGTTATATATTTAAATTAACATAAATATGAATTATGGTTGAGTAACCGAAAGAAATGTAAAAAAAAAGTTGTAATCATCTAATTTCCTCAAAAAAAAATGTTATTGTTAAAATATCCACATATAAGTTCACAATTATAATTGTAGAATTTATAAACATAAATAAATCTTTTTAGGGTAATGTTGTATGTAGCCATAACATCCATGTATAAGCATTAAATGCACTTTTGGAAATTATATAAAATTAGGAATTTATGACAAAAATACGCGTGAATCAGTGTAATTAGTGTCTATATTTTTATGATCACTTTAATTCTCTTATCTAACGCCCCAAGGACGCTCATTAGCTTTTGCCTTTTACGATTACTTAACTTTTACTATTTTCAAGTGTAAATTTAATGTTTATATGTATATCTAAGGGCTATGTATAACATTTTCTTTCTTTTTAATACAACTTTATTATCATATTAGATGTGTCATTGGAGTGGTGGTCAAAGTTCAATTTTAATGAATACAAAGTTATGGCTTATGCCTCATGGGTTCAAATATTAATGCTAACAAATAATAAATTTTTACGAAGAAAAATTGGTAATTAATAACAGTAGTGACATGGCATCAATAATTTAATACCAATAATACTATGCATCTTGTATTCTCGGAAAAAAGTAGTCAATTTAGTTATAATTATATGGGGCAAAACAAACTACAACATCATGGCTTCAAAAAAAAAAAAAAAAAAAAAAAAAAAAAAAAAAAAAAAAACTACATCATTGATTTGACAACAATATCGACCATTCAGGAAGCAACTGAAAACTTTACCAAATACTTGTATAAGTAAACCATTGCTTTTAGAACACTTATGTAACCGAAAATTTTAGACACTCTTTCATCATACTTGCTCCATATATACTTCCATGCATCAGCTGCCTACGGCAGCGCAACTATGGTCATGTTGATATCCTTAACCTTATTACTTGTGTTTCAACTTGTTATTCCAAGTTCCCAAGCTTTTGATTACTTCACCAACTGCACAGGTAGTTCTAATTACACCCAAAACAGTCAGTACCAAAAAAACCTCGGTAATCTCTTAGCCGAGTTAACTGCCAAAGCTTCGCTTTCTGGTTTTTATTACACATCTGTAGGTCAGATCCCTGATAAAGTTTATGGCCTTTACCTATGCCGGGGTGGCATTGGTAGTCAAGGTTGCGGCCAATGCGCATACGTAGCTCAAGGTAGTATCCTCAAAGAATGTCCGATCCAGATATGGGCTGTTCTATGGTATGATAATTGCATGCTTCGTTTCTCTAATGAGTCATTTTATCATCAGATGGATGATTACCCAAGTAACGTGGCATGGAACCCTGAAAACATTACTAGTAACGAGACTCAAGCATTTTCTAAGGTGCTTAACAATACCATGATGGATATGACACCAGAAATTGTGAACAGCAAGGTGAAATTTGGTACCAAAATGGCTAGCATCACAGGCTCAAAGAAGTTATATACCTTGGGGCAGTGCACGCTAGACTTGTCAGCAGATGACTGTGGTCGGTGCTTGAAAATTGCGATTGGGAAGCTTCCAATGATGCTTGGAGGGAGAGCTTTGCTACCAAGCTGCAATGTAAGATTTGAAGTCAGTCCGTTTTATGGAAATACAGTTAACACATCATTTTTGCTATCTGCGATCATCAATTCAACATCAACCGTTACAAGAGGTATAAAATTATGCAAGTACTTTTTGTTAGCTTGTAGTGGCAATTTCATAGACTTCATATGTTAGAATGGATTTTTAATGAGAGGATTAACAGTTAATCACTATCATTCGTGTACATAACCTATCACTCAACTAAGCACAGTTGTCTAGTTTTGCACCATTAGTTTCAAGTGTCATACTGACCCTGTGATGCAAATATCTTACAAGTTAATATAAAGGACTAAATATGTACTCCACTCTTCATTGCCAATTTGCCATTCAAGGTTATGAATAAGACTTTAGGAAGCATCACTTATTGCATAAAAAGAGACGAGTAATAGCGCATTGATACTTTAAATGAACAAATAATAGTGTATCTAAAATCAAAGTAACATATCAAGGGCAGACCTACATGATCCTGTACTGAGCAGTTACAACCCCTGTTTTTTTTAAGATGGTCAAGTAAAATTGAATTAATTCTTGAATGAGAATGAAATGTTCTTTCCAGGAAATGAGTCAGATTAATTTTCTCATTAGGGAACTAGTATTTGTTTGTCCATGTACACTTAATTTCACAAAAGGGATGAAAACAACACAACTTTGATTAAAGGATAGGACAACTCAAAAAGTCAGGTCGAGAAACAAAGTCAAAACAGAGCAGAACAGAGGAATAGTTCAGCAGTGACTTTTTGTAGGGAAAATTTACAGAAAAATTGATGAAGAGAATTTAAGTTGAACAAGCAAACTAAATTAACCAATTGAATTCAAAGATGACTAATATTATCAATATGATGTATGAAAACTTTAGTACACCTGGATTAAGCACTGATTACATTGCAGCAGCCACTAAGTGAGGCAAAATACAGCGTATGAAAAGTTTAAAGTAAAACAAGCAAGCTGATTACTGTTTAATTTTCTTATTGGACTAATGATGCAATATCATTTTAAGCTTGACCTAGTGAAAAGTTTTATACCCTCTAAACTTGAATTAGGGGTTCAATCTTCACTAAAGGCACTTTGAGAGTGAGGATCATCCCTTACCCATCCATCCACTTTCAAAGTGCTAGACTGCTAAGTTACTAACCTAGGCCGAGTAAGCGGAGCTTCGGCCTGGATAAGATACTTATTAACAAGTCCAATATTTTCAAGATTTGTATTTAGTCCAATTCCGTGCAAAATGATAAAATTTTTAAATCTATACCTTAACTATGCAGACAAGCAGCAGAAAAGATTGTCACACATTGCCATTGCTGTCAGCATTCCTGTAATCTTTGCAATCTTGCTCCTGGCTGGAGCTTTCTGTTGCATATACAATCGGAAGGCAGCAACGCCATCTCCTGGTAAATCAAAACTTTATGTTGAACATTCTTCTTTGACAGTCATAAAGCATGCAAAGAACATCACAAAATTCTTGTATTTTAAATAATATCTAACCATTGAAACAGAACTAAAGGAGATAGTTACAGTAGAATCATTACAATATGATTTCAAGACAATACGAGTCGCAACAAATAATTTCTCAACAGACAATAAGCTTGGGCAAGGTGGATTTGGTGTTGTTTACAGGGTAATATTTCTAAGTATAACAAGCTACATATTTGAACACATTTAAATCACAAGTTTTCACTTAAGGTTAATCAAATTTTATTGGAATATACTCAAACACATTTATTAAATCCAACTTTATAGGGAACACTTCCAAATGGACAAGAAATAGCAGTGAAAAGGTTGTCATCCACCTCGGGGCAAGGTATTGCAGAATTCAAGACAGAAGTTCTATTAGTTGCAAAGCTTCAGCATAAGAACTTGGTCAGACTCTTGGGATTCTGTTTGCAAGCACAAGAAAAGTTACTTGTCTATGAGTTCTTGCCTAATTCAAGTCTTGACAAAGTCCTACTTGGTATCATAAAATTAATTGAAAGCAACCAGCATTTCAATTCTGCTTTTGTTTGTAGTATATCAAGATTTTTTTTTTGCTAATTAATAAAAATTGCAGATCAAAACAAGCACATATCATTGGATTGGGAAACCCGATATAAGATAATAGCAGGAATTGCAAGAGGACTCCTCTACCTTCATGAAGATTCAAGACTAAAGAATACATCGTGATCTAAAATCAAGCAATATTATGTTAGATGAAAACATGAACCCAAAAATATCAGATTTTGGTTTGGCAAGGCTTGTAGGAGCTGATCAAATTCAAGGTGATACCAATAGGATTGTTGGGACATAGTAAGTACTAAGTATATACAAGTTTTATGATGATTCTTGTATGTTGAATTATAACTGTTCATTTCAATATTCTTAATTATAACTTCTTCCGCATTTACTTGACTACTATTATTGCAGTGGATACATGGCTCCAGAGTATGCAATGGCTGGGCGTTTTTCAGTCAAGTCAGATGTTTATAGCTTTGGAGTAATAGTTTTGGAAATAGTAAGTGGCCATAAGTGTAACTCAACAGCCTTCCCTTTTCATGAAGAAAGTTTACTTCAACGAGTAAGTATGATTCTATAAAGAAAAAACCTTCTTAATCTAAGAAATTATAACTTAGGACAAGGCTTATTAGTTTTCAAACTGAAGATCTGATAGTTTATATGTGATGTGTGAATCTATTCGCCCCAAGCCTGGAGGCTTTGGAACCTCAATGCAGCTTTAGAGTTGGTGGACCTCCGACTCAAAGGTAGCTTCTCAAGTGAGGAAGCGGTGAAATGCATTCACATTGGCTTGCTTTGCATCCAAGAAAATGCAAATAAGAGACCAACAATGGCTCCAATTGTCTCGGCACTCAATGGCTCTCCAGTGGTACTCTCTGAGCCAACACCACCTCAGTTAATAGCCCCTAGTAGTAGCACTTCTGGTCAATCCTCTACTATATTTTCAGGAAGTAAGGACATCACAGATGTTTATCCTCGTTAAATGAACAGAGGATAGGAGGGAGTATATATGTTCAGGACACATGGTCTTTCTTTTGCTGGGATATAACATTCCAATATCCAGCAAGGCTACAAGTTAGCTAAAAAAGTGTTCAATTACAGGAAGAATTCATGCACATACTCTAGAAACGACATACAGGATCTACTTCTTGCTCAGATACAACATATAGAAAGGACCAGTCATGTTGATCAATATTCTCATCAGAGATATGAGAGGAGCACAATCTAGTTCATATTACTAAGGCAAAACATTATGCATATATATGCAGAAAAATCATAAATGGGAAGTCCACTTATGAACAAAAAGTGTAGGCCACTGTGGCCATTGTTAAAGATAGAATATATGTTAGAACTTAGAATCCTTATTTTTCCCAAACAAATGAAAATAAATATAAGCAAAATGGTTGATATTACATAATGAACTATCACATTTAAATCAAACATCCAAAACAAAAATTCTTACTGTATTTAATTTGGTTATCATATATGGATTTAAAAGACTTTTATGGAATCCGCACTGCAAAATAATGTGATCTATGTTCAGTTTGCTCAGAACTGTAAAATATTGACAAACTAGAGAAGGGAGTTTAGAATTGTACCACTTTGATGAATGATAAAGGTAAGACACTTTTTTAAAAAAACAGATCCAATATACTGCAGCTGAAGCAGAGTTCCAGACACAGTTCCAAAACGAACAAACCTACCTGCACACAGAATAGTGCACCATATTTCATGTCAATAACATCAATAATATAATGGCTCCATTTTCCACTCATAAGTAAATATTGAGTCTCCAACCACCAACCCTGGTTTTATGTCCACACTGGATGTCAAATTGTCAACTTCTTAGTTCACAACAGCATCAAACATCACCAAAAAATTGCTACTGGTTAACCTTAATATAAATCTTATATCAGAGGCTAATAGAACAGGTGTGAGCTTTTGAACTTTGACTTAAATACTACCTTCATTTTTAAAAAACAAAAAATTCACTTTGTTAAACATGAATACATGATCATTGTTACAGATGTATGGACCCAAAATATATTAGGTGTGATAAATTGTCTGTCATACCAGATGTCTACAATTTTGGAGCCATTGTTCTGGTGGTCAGACAGTAAGAGATAGAAACATCCGTAATACAGCAGAAAAAAACAGACATAAAAATGTGTGTGTTGAGGGGGGGGGGGGTGGGGTATCTTTAGATAGTTTCTCACAGATTACACATACACTAGCTGAAAAAGTAAAAATGATTCATGGACTCATGCGACAGCAATAGAGGTCAAAAAATGCCGAGACAATACTAGCTTTTAGTAGACTCTGGCAATTTTTTAGCCAAAGAAGTAATACAATATATATTGGCTTTCAAAATCATGCACAAAAGGAATAACAGAATAGACCCACAATGTCATCATAGTTTCTGCCCTAAATAGCAACTAAATTTGTCAATCAGATGTACCATCAGAAGATTACCACAAAACAGGTAACAGCATTTCATCAGCAGGGATGTATCAATCTACTACTACACATTCAGATATGCAAGATATAACAGTGTTAAGAGCTCGTTGATGGTCAATGCTAAATCAGGTACATTTAACAGAAGAACAGCTAGTTCAGAAACAGCTTAGATGTATTCATGATTTTATGCAATCGTGCTAACATAGCTTCTCAATTAAGCTATCTTCCTTGTTAGACATAGCAGGCCAAAGCATGAATAGGCCACCATTCTTGAGGAATGAGATAGATTTACATCTAAAAAAGTGTTTGCATCACCTTAAGGCTTTTAATATTTCTTTTCATTGACCATTCTCTAACTGCTACCAAAGTCTTATAACATTTTTCTTAACCGGTGTCAACTCCACTAAAAAATAGGTTTAGTTGACAAATAGTTATGAGTAGAATATACTCTCTAATAATTCCAAATATCCTGATCTGACATCAGCCTTACCACTTGGCAATTACGTCAATCACAAATAAATTTTTAAACATTATTTGAAATAATATTCGATAAATACAAGAAGCCAGTGAAAAGGATATGCTCGGACTTGACACTTTAACAAGGCCTGCAAGGGCATTGATTAAAGGTTCAACTCATAATCATGTATCAATTTGGTGTCAAAGAATATATAAGATCCATCTGTTCTGAAGTAGCCATATTCCACAATATTGCATGCTCATAAAAGATAAAACAATGTAGTAACAAGCTGACGAAATCTAATGACATCATTTTAGCATATCTCTATTCACAAATACTACAAATCAAATAATGTATTGTTTGGATAAGAAGTTACAAAGACTTTGGCTTGGCAAGGCCTGTGAAGATATAATATACAAGATTCAATACTACATACCAACAATTTTGGAATATAACACTATTAAAATAAAGAAAATATATATTTAAAACAGTTTGAATTTATTTATCAATATCAGAAGCCATGTTATATACTTAATTATATTCTTATATACTGAGAATTTTACTACAATATCCTAAGAAGCTAGGCTATACAATAAAGTTACCTTCTCCATTTGCTACGTCATTACACAAGCGTGCACAAAATGAATCTAAAGAATGACAACATTCTTGATTATTCAATCCCAGTAACAGCTATACTCCAAGCCACTTTACTTTTGGCAACTCATTCTTTAAAATATCATCCCCAGTTTCTCACCCTTGCAAAGATCTTATTTTTGTACGAGGGAGTTACGACAAATGATCATACAATTTGATCATTTCAAACTTGGCTACAGCAAGCTGAGAACAAACTAACACTAACAGTTCTTTGCATTGAAAAATTCAGACGACCCAGCTTTAATTAAAAAATTATTACAGTTCTGACATTGAAAATTTCAAATAGCTGAGCTTTTCCCTTGCATGGAAATCTTATAGAGAAAGATCATTGAGGTTCATTGAATATGAGCAAAAAAATATTTTCCCATCAGGCCATTACCCAATCAATAGTCCCTTGCTGAACTTTCTAGGTCACATAACTCATTCCTAACACCAAATAAATCCAAATTAATCACTTTTTCAGGTCAAGTTGACAGGTTCAGATTCATAATAAAGCTAAATTCATTAAATCATTCTTTTACACTACTAGATAGTTTCAAGTAATATTTAACAATTGCATCCAAGCCTACAAACAAAGTTATGCTTGCTCTTTGCAATACATAACGGGGCATCTATTTACAGAAATAATAGTAGATCTAGAGCCCCATATCAGAAAAAGTCAGATATATTGGTTTTAAGTAGCCAGATTTATCTCCATATGCCTTATAAAACAACAAATATAATCTCTCCCAAACAAGACAGCTGAGCTGGGTTTAATCATATGTCAAAAGTGGCATCATTTTACTATATCTTAAAATCTTTCCTCCTAATCTTTCTTCAAATTCTGCAGCTGAAAATGGTTACTTCACAGATAAATCTTATTGGCTCTTACTGCTATGAAGCTGGTAATTATACACAGAACAGTACATACCAAAGAAATCTCAATATTGTCCTATCAGATCTCAGCGTAAAAGCTTCAACAACAGGCCTATATAATTCCACCAGAGGACACAGCCCCAACATAGTCTATGGCCAATTCTATTGCAGAGGTGATGTCAGTCATCAGCCCTGCCAAGAATGTGTACAGTCTGCGGCACAGGAAATAGTCACCAAATGCAGTAACCACAAAGAAGCAAGCATTTCGTATGAGGGATGCACCCTAAGTTATGCAAACAGGTCAATATTCTCGCTGTTAAAAACTGATCCTTTTAATTGGCATCAGAACAGCAATGAGAACATATCCAATCCCACACAGTTAGACCAAGTAATGTCAACAACTATCAACAATCTAATCAAGAGGGCAGCTTATAATGAAACTTACCACGGTTATGAAACCGGAAAGGCTCCTCTCCCACCTGATCAAACGTTGTATTGTGTTGTTCAATGCTCCCCTGGTATACTTGGCTCACCTTGTGAAAGTTGCTTGAGTGGCAGTTATAGAGAATGGCAGACTTGTTGCAGAGGAAAAGTATGGGCTGTGATTTTCCAGCCAAACTGCCAAATAAGGTATAATACGTCACGTTTCCATCCTCCACTAGCTACACCTCCAGGACAATCAGGCAAGCAAACATCGCATTCAGGTAAAAACATTAAAAAAAAAAAAAAAAAAATGGGAAGAACTTTGGAGAATAATAAACCCTTTATAATTACAACTATTAAATATATATCAAATAAGAACATAAATTTTCCATGGAGTATTCAAATTGAATATACTAAAGCACCAAGGCCCCCAACCAAAAACAGACTTAGTAATGCTGTCAAAGGCATAGTTGGGTGTCTTGGCACTATATATATATATATATATATGTTGTTGACTTAATCTAATATGTTTTGGAGCAGTCAAGACTAGGAGTATACATTTTTACATAACAAGAGCTGTTGTTCCAGCCTCTGGCTTTGTATTGTTGCTTCTCTTCATTATCCTCTTGTTCATGTACAGGAGGAAGAAACAGCACAGACTTGCAGGTATATAACTAATTCATCCCAGAAAGTTTTTTTCTTTTTATTTTTCTAGATTATAAGAAATAAACTAAGTCCTATACACAACATTACAAATGCTTATTGTCAATCATTAGTAGCAACTGCATAAAAGAAACAAATAAATAAAAATTAAAAATTAAAAAAAGAGTAAAATCTCACCTCGAGAAGAAGCAGAAAACAAACTTGTCGTCTGGTGTCCTCACAAAGTCACAATAGGTATTCATCAAGTCTGCATCATACACAATCTTGTCATTATTGTTATTGCTGTACTATATTCCCAGTACCTACGGCAAATAGGTATTAGATCAATAACCATGCATGACATGCACATTATACTATCATCTTTCGGTCCTATTGAAACTGGTAGTTTCTTTGAACATTTCTAAGTTACGCAACTTAAATCCATTCCTCTCAAAATAAATTAAAATGTATTAATCAAAAAACCAAATCCCATGTCAATTTGAGTTTTATGGATACTTGAATGATGACAGTTATATACGGAGTAGATATATGACAAATCGAGTTATAGAATTTAATATATTTATCTTTCCTACATATGGTTTTTTACGACTCAAATGACTTTAACAAGACTTGACTAAATCCTGCATGGGAGTGCTAGTCACTTCAGCATGGTTGTGTTTCCTCAGTAAACTTGTAAAGTGTAAAGTATCATCAATTAGTGAGCCTGATCTCAATAAAAACTTCTCCTTCACAAACTGTCCACTAAACGTGTAGTTGTACCATTGAATTGGAGAGTAGATTATTGTCCAAATAATATAGTCCACATAAAGAAAAAAACAACACTTGATAGCACCACATAAAAGCCTATTGCAACTACTAATAACAGAAGTATTACAGAGTTAATGCTGCATTGTAATTATGGTTTTCCAACTAATAAGAAACTTGTTTTACTGCTGTTTACTCAACCACAAACAATCCTCTTCCAGGCGTCATCAAATACAGCTTCAGCGTGATTAATTCTGCAACAGATAACTTTTCAAATGATAACAAACTTGGCCAAGGAGGATCTGGAGTTGTTTACAAGGTACTACAAAGTATACGCCCACTCACAACAGCTTTTCAATTTTCTGTGACAAATTAAAGGGTTTTCCATATACATACTGCAGGGGAAGCTTCCAGGTGGCCGGGAAGTGGCTGTTAAGAGGCTCTCAAAAGCCTCTTGTCAAGCTCTTAGAGATTTTGATAACGAAGTTCAGCTAATAGCCAAGATTCAACATGAAAATCTTGTCAAACTGTTGGGGTATAGCTCCGAAGGCAAAAAAAAGTTGCTTATCTATGAGTTTTTACCCAACTTGAGTTTAGACAAATTCCTATTCGGTAATATGTTTTAGCTGAAAAAAATAGTTTGTGTTAGGTACAAAGTTATTCAGATTGTAGTTCGTGCTGTCACTCATGATCATGAATATTCTATAGATCCAAAGAAGGTCAAGCTATTAGATTGGGAAACACGGTTCAAAATCATAACAGGAATTGCGCGAGGACTTCTGCACCTTCATCAGGATTCAGACTACAAAATTATTCATCGGGACCTGAAACCAGACAACATATTGCTAGACGAGGAGATGAACCCAAAGATAGCAGACTTTGGGGTGGCAAGGCACCTGAGAATAGGTCAAACAAAGGCAAAAACCAAAAAACTTCGTGGAACACGGTAAGATCTAAAAGCTTCTAAAAGTTATTGTTTGCATCTAGTTCTATTTTTATTCACTTTTTCACAGATGCACACCTTTGTGATTATTTTTTAAAAAAAATAAATAAATAAATAAAATTTAAAAAAAAAGTTACTAATTTTGAAATAAAAGAGATCTCACATAATCACATATGTATGCTTACCAACTTTGGCAATTAAATAAGAGTACTCAGTTACGAGTGAGATATTTTCACCATAACATCCGAATCCTATATGATGGTTACATGCTCCCATGACAATTATAAATGTCATAGAGCATACAGCCAGGCTCCAAGTTAAGCCAAAAGGTCTTCCAATTTCTAATATTGGATAAAAGAGTTATTTCACACTTTCACTAAGAATCTTAATGTTTACGGCCAAATATTGTTTCGCAGTGGATATATGGCTCCTGAATCTGCAAATGGTGGAGAACTCTCCATCAAGTCAGACGTGTATAGCTTTGGGGTCACCCTATTGGAAATCATAAGTGGGCTAAGAAATACTTTTGTTATTCGCGTACTAAAGAAGAACGGTCTAACGGATCATGTAAGACAGCCTATATATATTCATGTTTCAAATTAGCTTCAAAAGGCAACAAAAAGTCATAAATAATGTGTCATTTTGCTTCAGGCAAGGAGTCTTTGGAACAGTGGAGATGCCATTGAACTAGTTGATCCATCTTTAGAGAGCAACTTTTCAAGCACTACAGTCATAAGTTGTATCCGAGCAGCACTATTATGTGTTCAAGATAATCCTTCAAGTAGGCCAACAATGAACGGAGTCCTTGATCTCATTCTTCATGACAACTCTGCCTCTAATATCGAATAAAGTTTTGCTGGGTACTTCACCAGCATCATTCAACACAAATACACAAGGCAAACACATAATAAAAGGGAAAGTTTTTGGAAGTCAAGAAAGTGAGCCAAGTTCGTTCTTTGTGCCTAGGGTGACACCCGCGCAGCAAGACATATATTCAGTTATTTACCAACCTTGTTACAAACATGATTACATATTGTTACAAACGACCTTGAGCACAAAGGAAATTCTCAAAATCACCCCAACATTACATACTCCGGTTTAATTTCAAAAGGACTTTTATGTAGGACAGTCGCATTACCTTTCACATTTCCTAAGATAACCTTCAAACATTACAATTACAATCATTTAAGAGAGATTTTACAGCTTAGGGTTGGTCCTAAATTCAAGTTTATTTACAAGCAAAATAATTTAAATGATTATTGTATTTCATTTTTATACTTCCAAAAGAGGTAATGGTTATACATCATTATATCGAAAATGGAATTGTTTCCAAAAAAAAGCCTTTTTGTTTTTGATCTAGGCATTACCCCCAACACTTTAACCAATTAAGCTACTACGTAGTTGACATCTACGCTTCTTCTATTAAGCTGGATTGCCTATATTTGATGGATTACAACTTTGGTTCAACTATCTTCCATTCTTGTCAGTGGTCACTAGAATTGAAAGCAACAAAATGTAATCTTGTCTAATTATGACTCCATGCCAAGCATTACCAAATAACAAGATCATGAACCACAAAACAATTATAATTAAACATAACCAAAGCTTATTATATTAACAATGTAACATACTTATATAACCAAAGCATATACCAATATACCATTAACAATTATTATTAAATATAACAAGAAGCAGTCAAGCAAGTGCAATTAACATTTAAAATTAAACTACTACCTCAATTTCAAGAAGAGAATTGCGGCAAAATTAAATTAAAGAAGTAAAAAACGGAGATTTACTGATTTAGTACAATTAAAGTGGAAATTACCTCATTATGAACACCGCTGAAGAAACTTTAGATCTTTCCTCAACAAATTGTTGGGCCGCTGTGCCAGAATTATGGAATTGAAGAGATAACTTTGAGCAATTTCTGCCCTGAATTGGTTCTTCAAGCAAAACCCAATTTCATGATACTCTTCTCAATAAAATTTGGAATTGAAAATAATACTGTAGAATTAAATTCGACTGGGGAAAAAAATGATGTTTACATTTCTAGGTGATTTAGAATTACCCACGTCGTGTCATTTGTTACACTCGTGTGCCACAGCGCTAGTTGAGAGATTTGAACGGATTTTTTACGAAACTGAGCCCTATTAGCAAACTATTTACGAATATAGACACGTGGCCAAACTACTTACGGAATTGAGCTTTTGAGGTAAAACGTTGCCTCGGTCAGTGTTTTACTTCTATTATTATTTTTTTTAAAATTTCTTATTTAGTGAAATACAAATTTTTTTAAAAAAAAAATATGGAAATACATAAAAACGCTGCCTCAGTCAGCGTTTTTGTCTCAGGCTGTAACAGCCCTTAAAACGCTGACTGAGTCAGCGATTTTGCCTGGTATATTTTTCGCGCACTCACTCTTCCTCAAAACTAAAAACTCAAACTCACTCTTCCTCACGCAATAGCCTATCTTCCTCAAAGCTCTGCCGTCGCCGCCGCCTGCTGCGTGTCGCCGTCGCCGCCGCCTATTGCCTGCTGCCGACGCGCCTCTCCTCTTCTTTATAATCACATTGTTAGTACTTCTCACTTATTTTGTTTTTAAAATTTAAAAACCTAGGTTAGTTTGATAATTATATACTACATTGTTTTAATTTGATAATGTTGTTGTTTATTCTAAGTTAGTTTGATGTAAATTGACAATTATGTTGATAATTCTAAGTTGGTTTGTTGTAATTTGATAATTGTCTAGTATAAAAGCCCTAAATTGATGTTAGTTTAGTAAGAAAGTTTATGATGAAATTGTGGAAATGTTTGATAAAATTGTTGAAAATGTTGATGAAATTGTTGATAATGTTGATGAAATTGTTGTTTTAGTTTGATAAAGTAGCCTACATTGTTGTTTAATTACGAAAATTTTGTTATGTAGAATATGTTGGTTGTTATAGTGTGAATATGTTCGTTGTGTACTTTGTTGTGGTTGTAATGTGAATTGGAACAATGTTGGTTAATTATGTTTATAGTGTGAATATCTTGGTTGTTTTTGTGCGAATTGGTGGAGATTGCATGCAATTAAGATGTGTGGTGGAGGTGTTGGAGGATGTGGAGGTGTTGGAGGATGTGGAGGAGGAGGGTGATGGTGGTGGTGGTGGATGTGGAGGAGGAGGGTGGTGGTGGAGGTGGTGGTGGTGGATGTGGAGGAGGAGGGTGATGGTGATGGTGGTGGTGGATGTGGAGGAGGGTGGTGGAGGATGTGGAGGAGGAGGGTGGTGGTGTTGGTGGATGTGGAGAGGGTGGTGGATGTGGAAGGGGGCTGCACTGGCTGCTGTTGGGGGCCTGTTGTTGCTGCCTTCAGCAAGCAGATAAAACGCTGACTGAGGCAGCGTTTTATATGTCAGCGTTTTATCTGTATTTCCATTTTTTTTAAAAAATTTGTATTTCACATAATACGACATTTTATAAAAAATAATAATAACCAAAGGTAAAACGCTGACCGAGGCAGCGTTTTATGTCAAAAGCTCAGTTTCGTAAATAGTTTGGCCACGCGTCTAGATTGGTAAATTGTTTGCCAATTAAGCTTACTTTCGTAAAAAATCCGATTTGAACAGGGCTTTAAGATACTGAGACTTTTTGACGGTGTGTTTGGTATGTGGATTATAAAGCTGTCAATTCGGGTAAATGGGTCGACTTTGGGTCGAGTAAGAGTGGGTCGGGTCAATTTGGATTAATTTCATAACCTATGCAGGTCGGGTTTTGGTTGGGTCATGCTTGAATCGGGTCACGTCCGGTCATACTTCTTATCGGGTTTGGGTCGGGTGAACAATAGGTCGGGTTTAATTCAGGTTAAAACGGGTTAGGGTAATTCTCGGATTCGGTTCAAGTCAATAATTTTGCAGGTTATAATTAGGTTGGGTCATTTCCAAGTCAATTCATTCTCGGATTCAAGTCGGGTAATGTTTAAGTCAATAATTTGCTGGTTACAATCAGGTCGGGTCATTTCCAAGTCAGGTCATATCCGGGTCCAACTAAATATAAATTGATAATTATCATCTTTATCAAGCGAATTATTTCCTTTGACTATAATATATATGACAATATACTAGGGAACTATAGTCTATAACTTAGGAAGATAATTATCTCCTTTAATTTGACCATACAACAAATATATACTATACTTAACTCTTAAATTTGAGGATGATGCTCCTTTCTTTTGCTGGCCTAGACCGACTTGGTCTCCCAAGACAAAATACTTTGATCAACAATAATAAGGTGGTCTAAATTGCATTTAAGTGATTTGAAATCGGGTCGGGAACAATCGGGTTGAGTCAATAACAAATCGTGTTGATTTCGAGTTGGGTTAGTAACAGATCGGGTTGAATTTTTGGGTCGGGTTAGTAAAAGGTCTGGTAAAATTCGGGTCGGGTCAATAACAAGTCGGATTGAATTTGAGTCAGGTCAGTAACAAGTCGGGTTGATTTCAGGTCGGGTTTGTAACAGGTTATGTTGAATTCGGGTCGGGTTTGGAACGGGTCAGGTTGAATTCAGGTCAGGTTAGTAACAAGTCGGGTTAAATTCGGGTTTTGACGGGTTAAAACAGGTTAGGGTCAATTTCATTTCAAGTCGGAATCGGTTCAAGTTAATTAAATTGGCCATTTAACATTAAATAATTCTGTTTGGAACCATATATGATCATTATATGTTGTCATAAATATTTGTGGTATGCTTGAGTTGATAAAATCGATGAAGTTGTAAACCGGTAAATTGGTCGTTTAAAGGCAAATTGAATATTCCACCCACCCAATTGGGCTCCCAGAGGTATTAGAGAGTAGAGACCATGGTAAACATTTCGGCAATTTTTGTTTTCAAGTGAAAAAAGTAAAAAAAAAAAAATCAAAAATTGAAGACTACTACTAATCCATGCATTTTGCAAAATTTTGAAGGTTTCTGGGCTCGGTGTCAAAAAATCTTGAAATTCTAGGGAATAGATCTTGGGGTCATATAACGTCGTTTGGAACCATATATGATCATTATATGTTGTCATAAATATTTGTGGTAGGCTTGAGTTAATGAAATCGGTGCAAGTTGTAAACCGGTAAATTGGTCGTTTAAAGGTAAATTGGATAGTATCACCCCTCCAATAGGACTCTCGGAGGGTATTAATGACCATGGTAAATATTTCGGCAATTTTTATTTCCGGGCGAAAAAAAGTAAAAAAATTCCAAAATTGAAGGCTTATCCACACTTTTTGAGAAATTTTAGAGGTTTCGGAGCCGGTGTCGAAAAACCTTTAGATTATAGGGGATACATCTCGGGGTCATATAATGTCGTTTAAAATCTTATATGATCATTATATGTTGTGTTAAATGTTTGTGGCAGAATTGAGTTTATGAAATCCGCGCAAGTTGTAAACCGGTAAATTGGTCGTTTAAAGGCAAATTGGATGGTTGCACCCACCCAATTGGACTCTTGGAGGATATTAGAGACTATGGTAAACATTTCGGAAATTTTTATTTCTGAGTGAAAAAAAATTCAAAAAATTCATAAATTGAAGGCTATATCCACGCTTTTTGAGAATTTTTGGAGTCTTCGGGGCCCGGTGTCGAAAAGTTTTGAAATTCTAGGGAATACATCTTGGGGTCATATAATATCCTTCGGACCCATATATGATCATTATTTATTGTTATAAATGTTCGTGGTAGGGTTGAATTAATGAAATCGGTGCAAGTTGTAAACTGATAAATTGGTCGTTTAAAGGAAAATTTGATAGTTCCACCCACCCAATTAGACTTCCGAAGGTTATTAGGGACCATGGTAAACATTTGGGTAATTTTTATTTCCGCGCGAAAAAAAAGTAAAAAAATTCTAAAATTGAAGGCTAATATCCACGCTTTTTGAGAAATTTTGGAGGTTTCGGGGCCTGTTAACAAAAAGCCTTGAGATTTTAAGGGTTACACCTCGGGGTCATATAATTTCGTTTAGAACCATATATAATCATTATATGTTGTCATAAATGTTCATGGTAGGCTTGAATTAATGAAATCGGTGCAAGTTGTAAATTGGTAAATTGGTCGTTCAAAGGTAAATTAGTTGGTTCCAACTACCCAATTGGACAGCCGGAGGGTATTAGGAACCATGGTCAACATTTTGGCAATTTTTATTTCCGAGCGAAAAAAAAATTTAAAAAATTCAAAAATTGAAGGCTAATATCCACGCTTTTTGAGAAATTTTGAAGTCTTCGGGGCCCGGTGTCTAAAAGTCTTGAAATTCTAGGGAATAAATCTCGTGGTCATATAATGTCGTCTGGATCCATATATGATCATTATTTGTTGTCATAAATGTTTGTGGTAGTCTTGAGTTAATGAAATCGGTGCAAATTGTAAACCGGTAAATTGGTCGTTCAAAGACAAATTTGATGGTTCCACCCACCCAATAGGACACCCTGGGGTAATAGGGACCATGGTAAAAATTTCGGCAATTTTTATTTCTGTGCAAAAAAAAGTCAAAAAATTCCAAAATTGAAGGCTAATATCCATGCTTTTTGAGAAATTTTGAAGGTTTCGGGCCCGGTGTCGAAATTTTGATGATTTGAAGGTTTCGTGTTTAAGTCGGTTTCGGTTCAAGTCAATAATTTGCGGGTTAAAATTAGGTTGGGTCATTTTCAAGTCGGGTCATTCTTGGATTCAAGTCAGGTTATTTCCAAGTAAGGTCATATTTTGGTTCAAATAAATATAAATAGATAATTATCATATTTAGCAAGCTAATTATTTCCTTTGACTATAATATATATGGCAATATACTAGGGAACTATAGTCTATAATTTAGGAAGATAATTATCTCCTTTGACCATACAACAAATATATACTATATTTAACTCTTAAATTTGAGGATGATGTTTCTTTCTTTTGCTACCCTGGACCGACTTGGTCTCCCTAGACAAAATGCTTTGATCAACAATAATAAGGTGATGGTCTAAATTGCATATAAGGTGATTTGAAATCGGTCGGAAACAATCGGGTTGAGTCAATAACAAGTCATGTTGATTTCGAGTCGAGTTAGTAACAGATTGGGTTTAATTTTTGGGCCGGGTTAGTAATAGGTCTGGTAAAATTCCAGTCGGGTTGAATTTGGGTCAGGTCAATAATAAGTCGGGTTGATATCGTGTTGGCCTGGGTTAAATTTGGATTGGGTTAGGAACGGGTTGAGTTGAATTCAGGTCAGGGTAGTAACAAGTCGGGTGAAATTCAGGATTTGACGGGTTAAAAAGGGTTTGGATCAATTTCGGTTCAAGTCGGGTTCGGTTCAGGTCAATAATTTACGGGTTACATATGGGTCGGGTCATCTCCAGGTCAATTCATGTTCGGGTTCGAGTCTCACGTACTCGGGTCAACTCAGGTCTAGGGTTGGTTTCAGGTTGGGGAAGGTCGGGTTTGGGTCACCATTTTTTCAGGTTCAGATGGGTCAGTTAATAATCGGGTTTGAGTCGGTATTTCGAGTCGGATCAACTTTTGACAGCTCTATGTGGATATTGGGATGCGAAAGGGGATATCAGGAGGTGGGAGTATAATATTGTTTTGTTTGTTTTGTGAGAAATTGAGAAAGGGAATTGTAATTTGTAGGTTGGATTGAAAAGAATAAGAGTATGTTCTCTTCAACTTAATTTTAGTTCAGTTTATTTCATTTTGGTTCAATTTAGTTCAATCAATTCAGTTCAATTCCTAATTCTCTTCTCTTATAAACGAACAATATATTTCAGCTCTATTCAGGGCCTATTCACATTTACTAAATTGAATAGAGCTGAAATGAATATTTTATGAGAGAATGAAATTAGGAGCTGAATTGAAATTAAGCTGAAGTGATGAGTAGACCCTCATTTTAGTTTAGTTTAGTTTATTTCAGTTCAGCTCTATTCAGTAAATCAGAATAAGTCCTAAGATTGGTCTATTTCTATGACGCAGGGTATTTGGTAAATGTGAATATTTGTTTGGAGAAAATATATGTTCGGAGAATACAACGTTCGGAATTAAATTGTTGGAAAATTAGATTTAAGGTCTGTTCATATTTACTTAATTTCAGTTCAGTTCAGCTCCTAATTTTCCTCTCTCATAAAATATTCATTTCAGCTCAGCTCAGTTCAATTTAGTTCAGCTCCAATCAGTTCAGTTCAGCTCTAATCAGCTCATTTCAGTAAATGTGAACATGCCCTTAGTATAGGAAAAAGGTTGTACATAACCTTTAGGGCTAAGAGTATATTTTACCTTAAGGGCTACATATACTATTACCCTATATTATTGTGTTAGGAGTATATACCGCCTTACCTTCTAAAAAGTATGAGAAAGTATTCATGAATATATATAGTGTGTAGACAATTTATAGTTAAAATGTTTGTTTGTCTATATATCCCTATTATAGCTATTAATATGATGTACTTTGCCTTTAAAATTTCCTTGTGTGATTTAGTTCTAAAGAATAATGTTTGAACAATTGCTTACCTTTCAAAAAGTATAAGAAATTGCTTATGAATAGTGTGTGGAAAATTATATCCTTAAAATGTTTGTTTGTCTATATACCTCAATTGATATGATGTTAATTGCCTTTAGAACTTCCTTATGTGATTTTTTTTTTATTTATTTTTTTTTTTAAAAAAAAAAAATTATGAATAGTGTATGGCATTTATACCCCTAGGAATATTTGTTTACATTATGTTGTCATTGTCAACAACTAAAAGAGCTCCTGTAAATGGCTAGCAATGGCGCTCTCGTCGTGGGAGTTAGTCACCCTAGTTTGTATTCTCTCCATTTCATAATAATCGCAATACTTTGACTGACACACATGTCAATGCACAATTTTGACCATTAATATTTGTAATTATGTATTATGAGTAATACTATACATATAAACCTTAAATATACTCTTAAAAATTGTACGGAGTATAAAATTAGGAATTTATGACAAAAATAGGAGTAAATTAGTAAAACTACTATTTATATTTTTATGAATTCAAAATTTATACGGTTGTCTAGTGTATATTTAATGTTTATTCCATAAAATAATTTAAGCTCCTTTCATATTACCCTACTCCCTCCGTCCCTAAATTACATTCCTACTTTCCTCTATTATGTGAGGAATAAATGTTAGAAATAGGAATGTAATTTAGTGATAGAGGGAGTACTTTTTTTTTTTTTTTTGGACGGGATCCCTACGTCACTAAACTACTAAAAAAAAAACTTGCAATAAAAAAAGTTTAGACTTTACTTTTAACAAGTTGCACGAGCTAAAAGGACTACTCCGTAGGACATAGTCCGAGATTCAATTTATAAACAGAACACGGAAGTAGCTCCGAAGAAAAACGAAGTTGCATAGTGGATTAGTGGTACATCATTTCTAATTTTCTATTAGTAATGGACTAATGGTTACATATATGAGTAGTGTCATTAACTTCAAATAGTAGTATAAATCATAATAGGAATTATTGATTTTTATGTGTCAAGTGTCATCAAACTACTATCCATTTAGTGAATTTTATTTTGCATAAACATATATTAATACTTCGTATATTCGAATTTCAATATTATTAATCAATAATCAAACACTGGACAATCAATTGACAGCAATACTGATCCCACTACATTAATCAAGTTGATATTGTTAACTACTGATTACAAGTAGACCCTTAATTATAATAGTACAAACATAATAGTCAAAGTCAAATGTTGCTCATTCTAACTCAAGAACAAAGCCATTTGAGGCATATATGCAGTACTTAGTCCAATTGACCTTTCAGAACTCTATGATATTATTCAGTTTAAGAAATCTTAGTAACACCAAAAGTTACCCAATATCAAGCAATGACTAGAATAAGGAATTTGCATGATATTTATACTTGGTATTTAAAAACTATAACCAAGAAACTAAGAAAGACACATGTCAAACAGACGAAAGCATCTCATTATTTACAGTCATCAACAGTTCGTACCTGCACTCGGTAATGTCTCAACGAAGTTGATACCACGTATGTTCAACACTATAAGCTTTGAAGTGGCCAAAATTATGTTCATATAATCATATGACTTACAAACCACCAAAAGTTTTATAAGAAAAACGGTTGAATCCTTATTATTATCATATGAAACAAATGGAACCATCTGATATCATCTCAAAATCTGTCCAACTAATATTCCTTGTATTCCTACTGCTGAAATATGTTACTGCAGTTTCCCAGCCCAGTTATTTCAATATCAATTGTGACAATGAAAAGGGTAACTATACACAGAACAGCTCATACAGAGAGAACCTCATTGAGCTCCTCAAAGAACTCGGTGGAAAAGCCTCCGGATCTGATTTCTTTGAAACCACCAGGGGAAAAAGCCCCGACAAAATCTATGGCACATTCTATTGTAGACGTGACATTAATCATGACTTATGTCGTGATTGTGTACAGGCAGCAGCGCAATGGATCATAAGAAACTGCACTAATCAGAAAGAAGCTGTTGTCTGGTATCTGGAATGCACTCTAAGGTATGCAAACAGGCCAATCTTTGGTCTGGACGAAGATGACTTTAATGAATCATCGTGGACCAGCTATGAAAATGTAACCAATCCCAATGAGTTACAGCAGGTGGTACTCAAAAGCATGACCAGCCTTATTCAGAAGGCAGCTTACAACAAAGCTTACCATGGTTATGCAACCGGGGAGGCCCCTTTTCCCCCATATCCAACCCTATACAGTCTTGTCCAGTGCTCACCTGATATTCTTGGCCCACCATGTCAGCGCTGCTTGCGTCGTATATATAGAGATATGCACTCTTGCTGCAACGGAGGGAGAGTGTGGGTTATGATCTTCAGGCCTAATTGCCAGATGAGGTACGATATGGCGCCTTTCTACAACCAACCGGCTCCACCCCCATCTACAGGTAAAATTACACAAAAGGAAGAGAAAATGAGATCTTTTGCCAGGTTGTTTTACCCATAAAATGCCTCATTTATAATCATTTTCCTTACCATCCCCCTATCATACATGCATGCACCTTCAGTCATGTTTTCAAAGGTTTTCTGCTAAGGAACCAAACTATAGCTTTGTCGGTAATTTTTTTTTTACCATGCATACATAAGTTAGACTTGGTTATTGGGTAGGGTAGCCCAATGATAATAAGGTTAGTCCTCATCCCAAAGGGAACACAAGTGAGGCACATAAAAAGCATTACACATTTCCTCGTATTCCTAACCATTTCCTACAATTTATGTTGCAGATAAGGGTGTACTATTCTACGTGATAAGAGTTGCACCTCCAGTTGCTGGCTTTGTATTATTGCTTCTATGTATCCTCGCATTCTACGTGTATAAGAGGAAGAAAAATCAGAGGCCTATAGGTAACTGTTACTCAACAGACTAGACTTCCTATTCTGATATATTAAATCATACTCCGTAAAAACTTTAATACTAATTACTTGCTAGACGAGTAAAAGAGACCAGTCACGTAAATAACACAATCCAAGAGAGGATTACAAATTTATAACTGCTTACCTAGAGCTAGAGGATAACAGAATACCCGTTCATATTTCATAAAATATTAAGCCAATAAAAACTACATGTTTTTCTTGAATATCACATAGGGTAAAGCCTTTAGTTAATCTAAGCTTCCAAGTTGCATTCATTGTTTTCCAACTAATGGAATTTATTTTCTCCCCTTTTCCTCTACAGCTCTTGATCCTTCCACAGTAAGCAATGATCCTGTGATTCCTGTCATTAGCAGCAATGAATCGAACATTGGGCAATCCAACCCTTCAGAATCATTGCAATATAATCTGGAAACAATTAAATTCGCTACAAAACACTTCTCCATGGACAACAAACTAGGCGAAGGTGGATTTGGAGCTGTATATAAGGTATTAATATTCTGAATTCCAAAAAACAAAATATCAACAATCATGTTTTTGCTTTGTTTTAAATACCAGGCTGAAAATGGTTGCTCAGTTCTCTGTTAAGACTTGATGAGTTTCCAAATGCCTAAAACAGGGAAAACTCCCAGATGGACAGGAAGTAGCTGTTAAGAGGCTCTCAGAAGACTCTCGTCAAGGTCTAAAAGAATTTACCAATGAAGTCCAATTATTGGCAAAGCTTCAACACAGAAACCTCGTCAAACTTTTGGGTTTCTGCATAGAAGGCGAAGAAAAGTTGCTTATTTATGAATTTGTATCAAACTTGAGTTTGGACAAATTCCTATTTGGTACTATTTTTAACTCAACATTATTCATGGTTGCATAAGGTACTAACTTATTCTGGTATTATTCGATTTCACTCATGGTTATGAACATCTTGTAGATCCAAACAAGCGTAAGTATCTGGATTGGGAAACACGATTCAAAATCATAATAGGAATTGCACGAGGGCTTTTATACCTTCATGTAGATTCTCGGGTCAAGATTATACACCGGGACTTAAAGTCAAGCAACATTTTGTTGGATGAAGGAATGACTCCAAAGATAGCAGACTTTGGCATGGCAAGGCTTGTGAAAATGGACCATACACAGGCCAATTCTACCAAAATATTTGGAACATTGTAAGCTATAAAAATCTATTTTAAATTTCTGATGATGCTGTTCTTCAGCCATCAAATACAGAAATACTATATGAAAGTTTAATATGAGGATGCCCCAGTTGTTTCTCACATGGCATTTTCGTAAATAAACCAACAACTTTATTCGATTGTGGAGCCCACAATAATGAAAAAGTTATTGATTAATTCACGAAAATGCCATTATGAGAAACAAATTTGTTTCTCACCATGAGAAACAGGGAATTTCCCGTTTAATATTACCACTAAATGCCTAACAGGTGCTTGAGGAATCCACAAAAATTAATATTGGTCTCCCACATTCTAATCATGTTATTCATGTATACAAATACGAGATTTACTTCAATAATGGCAACCTTAATAATGTTGATAGGTAATGTTTTGCAGCGGATACATGGCTCCAGAATATGCAGCAGCTGGGGTATTTTCTATCAAATCAGATGTCTACAGTTTCGGAGTCATGCTTCTGGAGATCGTAAGTGGGCAAAGCAACAATTTGTTTATTCGATCACTAGGGCATGACAGCCTTATAAACTATGTAAGAGTCCCTAATTTCTGTTTTCTTGGGCAGTATTTGGTTCAAATGAGCTTACAATAAGGTTAATGACTAATATGTGTGTCCCATACTCCCATTGTTCCAGGCACGAAAACTTTGGAATGCAGGGACTATTTCAGAACTATTTGACCCATCACTGGGGAACAACTGTCCAAGAACCGAAATCCTAAGATGTATCCAAGTAGGGCTACTTTGTGTTCAAGATGACCCTCCAAGTAGACCAACAATGGAATCAGTTCTCCTCATTCTACAAAACAATTCCTCTGATATCCAATTTCCACCACGCCATTCAGCAGTTTCATCTGACACGAATGTGCAAAGTGACCACATAACAGGTGAACAAGGCCAATTTCGAAGTGTTGAAAGTGATCAACCTTATAGCGGGAACTCCACTGTGCAATTTACAGACTTATACCCACGCTGACAATCTCTTAACAGCAAGAAACAACTTTTCGTATGTTATTCCCCTCCCCTCTCACACACCCAAAAACAACAATGTCATTTTCTATTTGCTAAACTATGGTTGAGAAAGAGTTATGGAACTGTATTCAGGCTTCGTTTTATGTTAAATTGTCTAAAGTTGATTGAGCAAGTCTTAAAATGTTGTACATTCAAGTTGAAATGTTTATGCCTGATTATGTTAAAGTGTTACAAGAATAAGATCACACTCCGTACTAAAGAAGGAAAACAATAGCACGGTGTTGCTAACACAACAAAAACACATTATACAATCAATCGAGGGCGCCCCAGTTTCTCATGGTGAGAAATAAATTTTGTTTCTCACATGACATTTTCGTAAATTAATCAACAACTTTATTCAACTGTGGAGCCCACAATAATGAAAAAGTTTATTCACGAAAATGCCCCCATGAGAAACAAATCACTATCAAAGTCTATAAGTTTACCTCAGATTTCAACCAAATAAGATCTGAACAGCATAAAGCCATACATGTAAGCCACTCGCTCACCAATCTGAATATCAAATGGAAGCAATCTAATATATATAAATAAAGTAGGCATTTTTGGAGAGCATTGGGAGCGCCATGTAAGCAAAGGTATATTTTCGACCAATTAAAAATTAGATTTCTATTTTATTTTAGAATTATAAAAATCACTCGCCACCTAAACAAAAGTGACGAATGAAATTTTAAATTTTTTCCACGTTGGTAAAAACGACAAATAGTAATTTATTAAGATTTTTATTATTTAAGAACACTAAATTTTATCATTTTTATTTGTTACAAAACTAAAAATTATCTTTAGATATTAGGATTTATATTATTTAAAAAACTAAAAAAATATATTTTGATTAAATGATTTTATCTAACTATCCGATGAATGAGATAATATTTATTTCAATTTATAAATTCAAGTTACGTAAAATTTGAAAAAGAATAATTTAAAACTTAACAAAATATTTTACCTTAAATTAATGTTTAAATAATAGAATAGAAAATAAAAACAAAAAATATTAAGATATTAAAAAAAATATATACAAAATGAAATATTTAAAAACCGTGCATCACACGGGCTTACATCTGGTAATAATTAATATCAAGAACAATTATTGATCATACAGTATGATCTGTACACCGCAAATGAAGGCAAAATTAAGGAATTGCACATAAAGGGAATACAAGGGTAGATTGTTTATTGGAAAATGATGGAAATGATTTCATATAAACTTCAGCTTTTCCCCAAAATTATCACCTTATACATGCCTCCAAATCTTTTTTTTTTTTTACACACACCTCCAAATCTAATTTATACCATATTATATTATTAATGGATAATAACTTCCTCTTTTGCAAAATTTATAATTCACATTAATTGGGTTGGCTTTTAGTAATCAAAAATTAAAATTAAGATTACAAAAAGGAAGAACAACAGCTTAATTTCAATTCTTATCTTTACAGGCTACAATATTTCAATTTCATACACGAATTAAAGCTGAAAAAGAACGATTCTTCAAATAACATTTCAATTACATAGAGTAATCCGTAATACTAATTCTTTAACAGCTCAAATATCAAAAATTGAAAATACTAAATGATAAGTCGAAAAGATTAGTCCAATACCTAATTTTAATGAACAGATCCGCAGTGCAGAAATTCGGAACGTCTTCGTCATCATCAAATATTTTTGTTACGGAGTAGCAAAATTATCAAAAAAAAAAAAAAAAAAAAGTAAAACTCTCTAATTTCTGGTTTTAATGCCGTTCCTCTTAACCAAAAAAAAAAAAATAGCAAATTAAAATTATCATTTTTATTTTTGTTTCTTTCTCTACTTTATGTCAAATCGTTGCACATAACCTTTAACGGAGATAGTATTAAACAAATGTATATTATACAAAATACTGCAAATTTTCTAACTTTATACAATTTTTAAGAGTATTTTTAATATTTATACATAGGCTAATTAACCAGATTGGTAAATAAAAAAGACCTCTAGCGACAATTTGGTAAAAAAACTTACTCCGGCGAAAGTTTGGTAAAAAAAACTAACAATATGCGACAATTCGGTAAAAATAATAAACTCCGACGACATTTAGACCAAAAAATCTATTTTTTCCCACAAACTCTTTAAAAAATCCTATTTTAATTTGTTTTTATGTTCTTAAATTTATTTTTTCCATATAAAATTTTGAATTTACATGTCATCCCTTTTTATTTCCAACCCCTTTTTAAAAAAATTTCATTAATAAGAGATATAAAACTTAAGTGAAAATTGATACTTAACGTTTTTTTTTTCTTCAAATTGTTTTTTCCGTAAAAATGGGTTGGTAAAATAACAAGAAAAACGAACTATATTAAGCATTCGCGAGTAATTTATCGGAAATTTTTATATTTTTTGGATTAATTGTCGCCTGGGATTATTTTATTTACCAAATTGTCGCTTAAGGTTAGTTTTTTTTACCAAATCGTCACCGGAGTAAGTTTTTTTTACCAAATTGTCGCTAAGGGTCTTTTTTATTTACCAATATGGTCAATTGACCCTTATACATAGCCCTATAACATTACCCTTCGCACCCCAATACCCCCACCGCTTCAAACTTGACGTGTGCAGTAATTTTCGATGTCTTCGTAATCAGTGCTAATATTCCGATTCAATTATAAAGTTGATTACAAATCCTAATTCTATATAAAAAAAAATCCAAATCACCTTTGCAAATATTAAAACTCTAAAATTAAAATTCTCATCCATAGATAAGAATCAAAATTCCAAAAAATAGAAAAAAATCCAAATAAAAAATGGGACAAACTCTCACAAATGGAGAACACAAAGGAAAGCAAAGAGAAAGTTAAGCAAAACCCAAAAAAAATTAAAACCCTAAAACTCTAAAAGAGAGGAGAGAGAAAAGAGAAAAGGGATGAGAGGAGGCTAGTTTTTTTTTGTTTTTTTTCCCACAGACTTTCATATGTGGCTAGCCATATTTTTAATTACAGTATTTATTTATTTTTTGAAAGAATGGTCTGGTTACTTGGTGAGAGGATACTCAGTTGTTAAAGGTTACTCACTCACTCAGGAACTACTCGATCGGTTAGGGACTACTCGGTCGATCAAGGGCTAATCGGTTTGTCAGAATTTGGCAATGAGTTACTCAGTTTTTGGTTACTCGATTGATCAGAGATTACTCGATTAGGAGTTACTTGATCAGGGGTTACTCGGTCGGTTATGGGTTACTTGATGATCAGGGCTTACTCGTGTGTTAACTGGTCACGGTGTGGCCAGATACACCCAAAAGTTGGTGTTTTTTTTAGAGCAAGTTTATCTTCTTCAATCTTGTAAAAAAATATTATATCTTTTTGATAATAAACAAATTTCTTTTATTTATTAAGAAAAGGAAATACGAGTAGAATTTTAATTTGGAAAAACTACTCCCTCGGTTTTAATAAATGCATGTTACACTTTAATTTGCGCATAGTTTTAAAAAAATAAGAGATAAGTGAGATAGTTGGACGGAGCTAGTATTACAAATTTTAAAAGAAAGATGATGGATTACTCGCTTCGTCCCCAAATGATTTTCCTATTTGACTTTTCACGGTGTCCAAGACGTGTCTATAAACATCTATAGTTGGAGTATTACAAATTTTAAAAGAATAATAAAACCGCGTGTTTTTTACACCATCTATACCAATAAATTAAACATCATTAAATGTTTTTTTTTTCCAACAATTACCTAATAAAACCTAATTTTTCTTTGTGAAAAACTACCTAATAAAAAAAGGATATTTTGTGAAGAACTACTTTATACAAGTTAATTTTTGTGAAAAACTACCGTATTAAAAAATGTTGTAAGAAACTACTTTTTAAACAATAATAAAAGTTGTAAGAAACTACCTTATAAAACAATTAATGTTGTAAAAAGCTACCTTTTGCCGAATTATTGCATTGAATAAGAGACGTATAATGACCCATTTTCAATCTTTTATTTTTCCTCCCTTTTCCACCCAATTTCTCCATAGCCCCCACATCATCCCTATTTTCCTTTCTCTTTCATTGTTAAATTAAATTAAGCACATGGTGGTTGTTTTGGGGTTTTTTTGTACATACCCGAGTGGAGGGCGTGTACGTCCCGCGGGAGACAGATCCGCAATGCAACACTTGAACGGCTTGATCACCTGCAAAACAACGAACTCCCGGTATGCCGGAGGTCCGCTTCTGACAATTAGTTAGTGACCGAAAGAATGTAACTGAGAGAGAAAGAGTAGAGAGGAGGGAGAGTAATTGTGGGGGGCATTGCCCTTAGAGGATAAAAGTGGATCCCTTGAAACTGATGTAAATGACCAGTATTTATAGAGCATTGGGACATGTGCATTTTAGGTTATTTAACTTAATAGATTGACTTCCTACCGTTTACGGTTTCTAGGGTTATGGGCTTAGTGCCCAATTTTACCCTTCTATCATTGAGTGACACGTGTTATATGCTCTAATTGGCTCATTGAGCGCTGAGCTTGCGAACACGTGTCGCGGTGGCATTAGTCCACATATAGAGGGTATTTTTACCCTAAACAATGCGGAGTAGCAAATTACAACATTAAGTTTTTATAAGGTACTTTTTTACAACATTTTTTTTATAAGGTAGTTTTTCACAAAATTTGATGTATATAAGATAGTTTTTCACAAAAAGTCCTTACTTTAATTCATTTTAGTTGTACATTTATTATGTACACACATTTACTACTACTTTGTACTGAGTAGTATTCCATATATAATTTCAAACATTAATATATTTTCTATTGATAAATCAAAAAAGTTATTTATTTAATTAAATTGTTATTTATATTTCAAAGTAGTCAAAGGAACTCATACACATAAGTACATAACAATAATACAAGTTGTAATAATTAAAAAAAAAGTGTTTACAAATATGAAACAAAGGTGGAATGAATTACGAAAATCATCACATTGACAATGATTACGCTACACAGAAATCCAGCTATACATGATTGACCAAGTATTAGGCTATTAGCAATAATGTCAACGATATTATCAACAAAAGTAGAATATTATAGTCCATAAATTCTAAAGTAAACCACTGCATTACTAAATTGATAATGAGATGTGACCAAGTTAAACCAGATATATAAAGACATACTGGTTGTCAAAAAAAAAAAAAAAGACATA